CCCCACTCTGTCTCTGGTGAATCCTCTCACCCTCCACATCTCTGGCCTGTACCCCAGTTCTGTATGAATAAATAAATAAATCTTTAAAAAAAAAATTAAAATTTCTTTTTCAAAAGAAAACACATCAAGATCAAGTGGGATTTATTCCAGTCATGAAAGAACGGTATAACATCAGAAACATGTTCTACTATTGATTTAAGGCATAAATGGACTAAAGGAGAAAACTCATTGTCATCTCAAAATGTGCAAAAAAGCATGTGATGAAGTTCTATAGCTATGACAAAACATCATAGGAAGAACAAAGGAGCTTTCTCAGATTGATAAGAGCCAAGTCCTTATTCAAAATAAGGAATACTGTCTAATCAGTGTGCTATTTCACAATTGGATTATTATAAAAGCCAAAGCCTAAATGAAGAAAAAAATGAAGATGATTATACATACACAGAAGATTCTGCAGAAAGATGTTTTTAACAAATTAGAATTCAGCAGTTTAGAGAGATAGAAACAAGTTAACAAAAGTTAAAAACATTCTTCATAGCATTGATAGTCTACTAAAAAAGTAATAGAAAATAAATTACCATACACAGCAGCAGTAAAATTGATGAGGCATTTAGGAAATGAAATTTCAGGATTTCAATTATAGAGAGGAAGTATTACATACAGAAAGCAGGCATGAAGACCCTAAGTGACATACCTTGTTAAAGAATAGAACCTTGAAAGCTGTGATTTTTCCTGAAATTAACAAATTCAGTGACATCCCAATGAAAAAATCAGGGGAAGATTTTTGAAGAACTTGGAAAACATTTGCATAACATTTCTATAGAAGAATAAAGGTCCATGAAAAAATAGGTCAAATTTGAAAAAAGGATGACCAGAGGGGGCTAGCTCTGCCATGGTCAACCACAGCGCCTCCCCACACAGGGAGCATGTGATACTGGCCGAGAAATGAGCAGATCGAAGGGACCAAAAACCCAAAACATGTTAATCACCATAAACTTGACGGCTGATAAAAGTGGCACCAGCACTGAGAGGCAAAAAAAAGCTGATTAGGAGGTATATATGCATTAACCCACTTAACCCTAAAGGAACGCTAACAAGGAAATAGCGTTCTCCACCTGAGGGCACACAGAGGCACAGGTTCAGTCAAGGCGCGACTGGGACTAGGGAGAGGCAGGTAAGCCATGCCAGGTGGCGTCTGGTCTTTAAGGTTGTGACGTTTTGTTCATGGATTCTTGCACTCAACTTGCTTGTTTAAACATGAGTAATGTTGCTTGCTGCGTTTTTGGGTGTCCCTTGCTTTTTCACCCAAGGGGAATGCCTCACATTCCTTACTCTGGCCTTGGACTCTTGGGTGCCAGAGTTAGTGAGGGTAAGAGCGCCAGGGCTGGCAGCTTGGCTCCAGCCTTAACGATGTCGTTGCGACACTTCCCTAGATAGTAAAACCATCAGGCCAATAAAGCAAGACAGTGACTGGAACAGTGTCTTTGTAACCTTGAACTTCAAACAAAAGTCAAGGAGCACAAACATGTTGGGCTCTATATAAAAACGAGGGCTGCTTTCGGACACCGGAGACAGAGTGAGGCAGAGACAGGCAGGGAGGAGCTGGAGGCAACATCAAAGCCAGCAAGATGAGAACTTAGAGATGGACAGACTAGCAAATCAGTGGCAAAAAACTCAACGGGAAAAAAGATGGAAAAAGGGGTATAACAGACAATTCACAGACCCCCCATGACAAGTGTATGAAGAGTTGTTCAAATTCTCAGGAGTCAGAGAACTCAGGAGGAAGTGAGGCTTCAGACTGGACAGTTTGACAGCCTTCGGCAAGCGGGTATCCTAGGTGTTGAGAGGAGTCTGGCCCTTTGCATTGTGTACGCTGCATCGTGTGCATTAATAGAGAGCGGCCTGCTGCTGAGGGAAGCCAAGGGTGCACGCACTGGCCTGGAAGCCCGAGGCCAAGAGGCCTGCTTTGACACTCCATAAGGGGACAGTGGAGCTGCTGACAGCAGTGCTGTGTGTGACCCTGTGATGGGCCCCGGGGTGCCCAGAGGACTGGCCCAGGACACTGCAGGGGCAGCAGCCATGGTGGTCACCCTACCCCACTACTCCAAGGCTTGAAGCACCCGCTGGGCTGTAGCAGCAGTTTTCTGACCCCCCCTGGACCTCCACAGTAGAGGCCAGGCCGGGAGGCAGCCTCCCAGCAGAGCCCACTCTGTGGCAGCTCTGGGCCCCTTGTCCCAGTGCTGTTGCAGCACCCTCAAGCCTTGCGCTGTTACACCTGGAACAGGATGCAACGTGCTTCTGGTCCCCACCCAGGGCTGCTCCAGCTGTGGCTCCCTGGAGCCCACTGGCACCGAGGCTGGCCTGACCTCAATGCAAGCGCCAGGGTCTTCCCTTTTAAACGTGGCACCGGGATTGTAAATGCGCCAGTCAGGTTCAAGCTCTCCTGCTGTCAGTCAAGGGCCTGAACTTATCAATCAAATGCTTAGGATGGGGAAAAGGTGGTCTAATAGGCTTATGGGGTAGGGGACCCTGAAGAGGACATAAGACAGGAAGGAGCCGGCTTGATTCACTCAGCAGACAACCTCTGAAAAGCATCGAGCAGACAACTTCCATGGGGTTTAACAGACCTCCACAGACGCCAAGACCCCCGTAAAGTCTGAGAACCCGGCTACCTTCAGACCTCAGGACCCCCTTGCAGAGACCCAGCCACAGCACGTGCCCCAGCCCTGCCTCCGCCATCACCTGCAAAGAGCATCGTCTCTTGGCCAGGTGTCTCAAAGAGCTAGTAGCCACTGGTTCACACTACGAGCTCACAAAGAGCTGTAACACTGGTGGCCCTGACCAGTGCTGGTGAGCAGTGGTGACCAGCACCAGTGACCGGTGCTGAGAAGCACTGCTGACAGGTGACTGGCATCCTGCATCTAGCTACCTTTGAAAGCTGTCCACCACTGCTGGTCATCCAGTCCTGCCTCCCAGTGCTCTTGCTATCCAGTCCACGACCAGTGCTGTCCTACTGCCCTTCAGATTGCTGCTGTGTATATTCCACAAATATTTGCCATATTTGCCGAGCATTCACTTAGTGCAAACACGCTGTGCCTGGCACTAGACAGAGGTGAGCTAAACACTGTCAAGATACATTCACATAAGCGCTGCATGATGTGAAATTGGTCACATGGCATAGGCAGGGATGGTCTCTCTGAGAGGGGACATTTGAGCAGGGACTAGGATGATGGAAGCACCCAGGTGTGAGAGAGCAACTCAGTGCTTTTCAGGATCAAGACCAGCACATGCAAAGTCCCTGGGGTGGGAACGAGCTAGGCCTGGAGGGTGGGGAGGGGTGAAGCCAAGGGCACTTGACAAGCTCAGGACCTTCAGGCTGGACCAGGGCGGTCCCAGGCCACGGGGTTCCAGAGTTCCTATTTTATTCTAACTACAATGGAAAACCAAGAGGCTGTTTTAAGCAACGGAGTGACTTCGCACACTTCCTAAAGGCAAGTGTTTATGAATAATACAGAGAGAGGGTTCAGAGATGTTTTTAAAGATCGCTTTGACGGCTGCGAGGAGCCTTGCGCTGGAGGAGTGGGAGTCGCGAACACTCCCTGAGCCTCCGCCACGTGGCAGGTCATCCCTCCCCCGCATGGCCGTGGGACTGCAGTGAGGCGCTAGTCCCCGGGGTACCCGGGCGCACGAGGGCGCCGCACGCAGAGGTCCCACCCGGGCCAGGCAGGCTGGCGCACAGCAGCCCCTTGCCCTCGGGGCTCCCGGCACAGACCAGGGCTGGGTCCGCCCGCGGCACAGCTGTCGCTC